CCCCCCCCGGAAGATCAGCCCCTCTATTTACTCATTTTTGAATCCCCACCACTTAGCAATGCTTCTAGCCAAATATGGTGTATATATCCATCCTCAGTTTCCCAGAAAAGGTCACTTAAATCAATCTGGCTCAAATTTCCCACTTTTGGACCTGCCCCTCCATTTGTAAAACTGTGTATCCCCACCACCCAAGAATGCTTCCAGCTAAATATATTTGATTTCCATTTCTTAGTTTCAAAGAAATTGTTGCTTGAAGCAATATGGCCAAATTTCCCCCTTTTTGGCCCCACCCCTCAGCCCCTTCATTTGTACATTTTAGAATCCCCACATTGAACCTAGGGATGCTTCCAGTCAAGTAGGTTACATTTCCACCAGCAGTAATGCTTACCTTGGTTCTTTGACCAGTTGTGCTAATAACATGAAGCTGTCTTAACAATAAGTGTATACATTAATATTGTCCTGGGAGTCCCAGTATGTTGTTACCTATATCGTTGTAGGACTATCTATATATCCTCAAATAATATTATTATAAATCACATATCTGATATCAAATAATATTATTATTTATCACATATCTGATATCAAAATATATCGTTAGAGGTTAAAATTATCTTTAGATCCAAAATATAGGTATGTTTCTAGGTTTGAAATCTACAAAGTCAGTCAAATGTGTGAGACATATATTTATATATGTATTCATACTGTAACAACCTGCTTACATACAGACGTAACTTTAATATGTACAAATTACGTCAAATGTATGAAAACCTGTGGGCATATTGCACATGTACATGTGTTCAAGTGTCAGCATCAGCAAATATTTTATGGAGACATGATAACAGCTGTTGCTTGTCTAAACAGAATATTGCATTTACTGGTAATACACATATATATACAAGTACACAAACAAAAATATCACAATTGAAAAAATCGTATAAAACGCAGCACATTCTCCATTATAAATAAAAGATTCTGAAAATCAAGTTTATCTACAATCAGTGGAATGATAATGGAATTTATCTGGCCCAGAATCATAAAACTCACTTCAAGAATATTCTTAACTTATATATTCATACATACATGGATGGATAGATTTCCAGCAGTTCATCGACTATTTCAAGTTAAGATAAGTTCTAATTAACATACATGTAAATATGTTTTTATCTAATTTAAAGTTTCAGAAAATATAAAGTTTTAAAATATATTTCTAATTTTGAGAATAAACTCATTCACCCCTGGAGACACATTTGAACTCTTCCATTACTAAGGTTGGAATAGTTCATCATGAAATTTCAGGGGTGAATGGGTTAAGAATGTTCTTAAAGCTGAGATGTTTTGTAATTCCTGAGTCATTTTCCTAGAAAAGTTATAAAGTAAAAGCCTGAACCCATACACAAAAGCCTGGGCTTCTTAATGTTGTAAATATGTGTTAAGTGTACCATACATACACCATCCAAATACTAACAAATAACCAAGTACAAAAACCATAGCACGTGTATAATGTATAAATACAACATATAAGGTAAGTGATTAGAAATCAACCCTTGATCACATGGATAATTCAAGCATTAAAGGACTATTTCAAAATTTCATTACAAGAATCAACCATACATTATCAGGGCTCAAAGGAATTTTATGCACAATTGTCTGAGTAAGGTAAATACTTACTACAATGTCATACACCTGTGTGGCTTTTTCATTTGCGACTGTTGTCGGTTTTGACCTATATATATAGCTAGAGCATATTGTGCAAGCGCAAGTTCCCAAAAATCACATGGATCTGGCCCCAGGATCTTGAAACGATCTTTCTAAAACTGTTTAAGTTTTGAGTTAGCCAATCACAAATAACTTGATGAAAAGTGCAGATCCATGTCATATGCGATTGGCTAAGTAAAAACTTAAGTCTAAGATTGCTTATAATCCCAGGGCTGGATTGATTGATTCAGTATCAGACAAATGAATAAAAAACAAAAACCATGGAAATAATGATATTCCAACATAGAACTGTCATACAGTTGATATATAGAAATGATGTTTGTATGTGTTCTACAGTGCCCTTGGGTGATCACAACCCAAAACGGTCACAAATGAAAATGCCACACGAGTATTAGATCGCTACAATCTAGAATGGTCTTATAATTATCACTATGCAATATGCATGGCTTTATATATATCAATCTATATTATTGATACTATAGCCTACTGTATAACAGTATATAAACCAGAATATAAACTATAAGCATGGTACATTAGCCGATTGTCCCAGTATTGCTGGTGGGAACCAGGCAATCCCATAAATGAAAAGTGACGTTCCGCTAGAACAAGGTTCTTAGGGAATGTCTCGTTTGAGGGTACCAAGTTGGATCCAATATGGTGGCCAGTGATTCTTTCAGGTTTGCACAAAACTGTATATTGGTCTACGTGCAAAAAGTTAAAAACTGTCTTCAATCAGTCTAATTATTATTTCTGACTCCAAGTAACACCAGTGTGTGTAAATTAAGGCAATAATCTGCATTGTTTTACCCAATTTCATATACATGTACTGCAGCATGTATATGTAACTTCGGAAAAATGGTTCCTTTTTTCTATTTGATTATTAAAATTACATGTGAGACAACATAATTTGGAATGCACTGTTCCTTTTACCTGACCAATCCTAAGTTAAACAACTGGAATGAAAATATGTATAATTCCAATCTATAATGAAGCTGTACATATATATATATACGCCTTATATACCATGGTATATAATTATGTACTCTCGAAATGGCAAGGAAATCATATTAATTAAAGTTTCTAGAGTTTATAGTGTCATTTATATAGTTGTTGTCAAAATTATTAATATTTTGTCTTATTACAATAAGTAAGTCGCTTTCAATATTTTTTCATAAGAATTTTTGAATGATATTTATTAAAGTACATGTAAAAGCCATACCCGAATACATGTACTTATACAATGCGTATAAGATCAGTTGGGGTATATATTGTTGAACAACATTGAGCGCTGCAACATTTGGAGACCTTAAAAGGGGCATTAGAGACAAACTCACAGAAAATGAGACCAAAACAATTATATAATATTTATAGAAACATATAATTAGTTTCTTCTTTGGAAAAACCATAATGTACTAAATACATTTATTTTAAACCTGGGAGTAGGTGGTCCTCTTTAAATTCATCTCTATGGGTAGACAAATGTTGAAATGAAATGTATTCTGAGTTTGATATCATGACTGTTGACATCATGTTTTAGTACATGTAAACTAGTTCATAATTATGTATATATATATTCTTACCGAGATAAAATGTAAAATACTAAATAACCAATGTTGACTTTGTTCAGCTGTATAAATAACATCACTGGACCGGACATTCTATGTAGGCCAAGTATGAGTATTTAGCTTATTAACTTATCTGTTGTGTAGCCTAGGCCATGTTATTATCTCGATAACCTTTTTGGAAGAGAAAAAGACATAATTAGTAGGAACCTGGATAGACACACATCATCAACATTTTAAAATTTTGCATTCACTTCTGTTTGCTAATTACATAAAAAGTGTTTTGAAACACTTTACTTATGTAACTTTAATTAAGTAGCACCAGGGAAACAGTGATAATGTAAATCATATCTAATGTGACTTATATTTGATTAAATTAATTGCACACAAGCTTAATGCTAGGCTTTCAAGTCTATTAGCTAAACATCATCATTTCTTGGCATAGAGAGACTTAAGAAAGACTAATAATCATTAAAAACACAAAAAAATATGTATGACTTGCTAATAGTATAACATATTTGTGCACTGATGATTGAATGAGATTAACTTCATCAAAAAAATGAAATGTGAATTTGGTCTAGGATGATCGGAAACACTTTTGCATTAACATGCATGACAATAGAATAAAAAAGGTTTAATAATTGTTTTTACCTTTAAAAACCCTGATAAATGAATTTGTAAGATTTGTATAAAAACTTGTTTACGAACACAATGATATGGACATATACAATTATAAATACAAAAAAATGGAACTGTTATTTTACCTACACATAGTATCTATGCCAGATTTATTTACAAGGAAATAACTCCTTATATTAAAATGCAAGTAAAATTTTCAAAAATATTATTATCATTCTAATACAAACGAAATTTATAGATTGTAGCTAGAGATACTGTAATTGTATAAATTTAAATGAATACAGGTGTTTTTCTGGTCAACATATTGGTACAAAATACATGTATGTATGTATAAAAAAGAGAGATGAATAAGTAACAAATTTGTTGCTGCATTAGCACTTTCAAGTTTCTTTTAAAACAAAGTAACAATGACAATATATCATGACTGATTGACATTGACTGGGTGATGTAAAATTATACACAAAGGGAGGTAAATGGAATTACATTATGGAGTAAATTTGATTTAGATTTAATATTTTCAATGGTAGCTATGTACATTTTATAAAGATATGTATATATATTAAAATCCTTCTGTTGACATGTATGTATACAGAAAGATGTTTCTTCATGTGTCTGTACCTTAACCCTTTCAACCCTACGTAACTTTAGTAGACTCCACCATGCATTGATCTGGATGAGTCCATTATGGTCTTCAGTGTTGAAAGGGTTAATTATATATATAACCTGGGCACAAAAATATATGAAGGATCCCTGTCTAACTGCAGTTGAACAGGTAGCTCAATCGGTTACAGCAATAGAACAGGTAGCTCAATCAGTTACAGCAATAGCTTAGCAATCTGAAGTCGCAGTGTTTGATTTCCCGACTAGCGGCACTGTTGTTGATTATATTATATTTATTTCATCCATATTATTTCTCATAAAAGTCCTGTAAGATATGGTTTTCTTTTCGGAAATGGTTTATCAAAACGAAGTCATCAGGTAAAAACCTGTTTCCATTAACACACAGTTACAGTTTCTGGCAGTGGTACTGGGATATACTTAATACATTTTGTACTGATTTGTATGTAAATTTATATTTTACAATTTTGATTTCTCTAGATCTAAAACCCCTTTTCTATTTTCTGGTCATATATTAAGGTTTTGTAAAGGTTACATATTCTGAATCAATGACTCAAAGTTGTCAACACTGACCCAATTCCTTCTTAAAAAATGTTACACATATACACAATGTATAATAGGAAAAATACTTCTGAGAACAATTGGTTAGTGCAAGCTGTTTGTCGTGCATTAATCACTTGACCTTGAGGAAATCCAGCCATACAGCCACAGCTTAAGTCTGTAGATGATGAAAAAAAAGACCTGTAATAGCGGCAGTATCACAAAGCCGACAACAAGAACCATGATCATAGTCTGACCAACTTTGTCCGAGTTCCAGTCCAAAACTTCTGGGTAGATTGGATCCTTGTTCCCAGCACCGTAGAAGATGGCTGTAAACACGAGGTATACTATTCCATATGTCAAGGGAAACACAAAATGCAGTAAGTGTACGGGTGCTGCTGTCAATAGACACTCCAAGAACACGATTACAGAGTTAATCCCATGCAGCTGCAAATTGCCCAGGTCTATGGGTTGGTTGTCAGTGTTCATTTGTGGCCAAAGAAAGATAAAAAATATAAGGGTCACCATTACTGAGCACGATGACATGATATTCAACAGGACCCATACCAGCTTAAAATAAAAAGGCATGAGGTTGCTTCTCGTGGATGTTTCTCCGTATGTAAGCTCTCCGTCCTCGTTATCATGGCTGGGGATAGGCTCATAGTCGTCGCCCCACAGACTAGGGTGTACCTCTAGCTCTGTGAATAAGGCACAGTGTTGACTAACTGGCAACCTCCTCCACCAGAGAATTGCTGGACTTGTGCAAAGGAAGAATAAAGTGGTCAGTGCATGCAGTGTGAGGTATAGACACAACATTGTGTAGGTCCAGTTAGTGAGATAAACTGGCCAGGCATACAAGCCATTCCCAGGTGCCACTGATCCATATTCCACAGCTGTGTAGATCAGCCAGAAGTCTGCGTATACAGCAATGACCAGGCGGTATAGGAGGTACACAATCGGAGGCAGGCGCCACTGTGAAACATAAAACCATTATTACTTACAGTGGTGAACAATTTCAACATGGCAAAATTACTATTGCAGCACAGCCAAAGCTAAAACAACATGTTTACTTTATTTACTACAAGTTGTAGTTACCATATGTTACCGGTAATAAGCCCATGTCTGGTAATAAGCCCTATTATTATGGATTGGTATTCATGGATAAACAACTGCTGTAAATGTACTACTACAGGGAAACAAATGTATGAAACAGTTGTTTTAATGAGTATGATATCAGCAGGTATAAGGATCATCCATTTTTTAAATCATCCGACTCATCTCACTTGAAACATAAAATAAAAAATATTTGGAGAAACTGACATGTTTCATGGAAAGTCATGATCAGAACAGCAACTTGAAAGATTTGTAATTCACCTAATGTCAGTCCTAGGCAAACTCAGCTAAAGAAAACATAATGAAAAATATTTCATTTGGAAAATGCACACCGACTCCCTTTTAGGTGTCTTTAGAGGATTTGATGTGTACCTGACTTGCATGAGCTCTCTATCTAAATACATGTACACTTGCCATACCATAATAACTTAACATAATTAACTGTTGTACACATGTGAGCACTTGTGTATTTGAATTAAGTACACAAATTAGCACATATACATTGCTGTAGACATTTATTTGGTGAATTCACTTCATGTTTAAATCTGATATACTCCATTACCAGAGTAAGGCAATTCAGGACCAAGGACAATAAATCTGTCTGTAAATAACTTAAAATCCAGATTTCAATAAAATCCATTTTCTTGGTTATCTGTTCTAATTCAGTGAGATAGACAATAAATCTGAAATACGTGTATAGTAAAATATATGTAACATCACAGTATGATATAGATCTTAATCTCAAAAAGTTTAGAAATGAATCTTGAACTTAAATCTAAATCCTCTATTTCTATAGGATATCCAATAGACAGTTAGACCAAGTCTGTTACATGTTTTCGGGTCATGTGAAATAAGACTAATAACTTATAAATATAAATTATATTTATAAGCGATCCATGTTTACCTGTGTTGGGCAGGTGATAAAGGCCTACTTGTTCAATACAATACAACTATTTGCCAAAGATTTCTGCCCTTCAGCTGTTAAGGGCAAGTTTAATGATACAAAAAAAAATGTTATGCCTACATTGGTCATTGGCCTAGATTTAGAGCAGCTAAGTATTACCTGAAACGTTGCAAATCTGGCAGAGTGGACATCACTTAACCAAAACTTCTTCAACCTGAATTCGTTGCGGAGATAAGAGCAGCAAATAGACATTGTTGTTTGATACAGGTAGGCGTAGACACCTTCGTCAGTTGTTCTGGTCTGTGTGCTCCATATATATATATGCATTCACATGTGGAAACTGGCAGACGACTGTTAGTCACTACTGGTTAATATAAAATGTGAACATAATATAAAACGGAACGCACTAGTACGTGACAGATTTTAACCTCGTTTGGTCACATGAGATTACTCGTGACAAGGCATAGGAGTGTTTTACGGTACACCTAATGTTATATTTCTTCGTCATTCTAATTCATTCAATCGTGTTGTGTGCGGTTCATGATTAGCAAATGTGAATCTTGAGTTTATCGACATCTAATTTAGCATTACAATGTTCAGAATTTTTTAACCTTACATTAAACCCAATAGTTTTAGAATTATACATTAAAATAGAAACTCAAGTTGTAATTTTTTTTCTTCGTCTTAACAACGAGGATAGCTATATATTTAACTGAAATAAATTTATAGTAATCCTACTTATAGTTAAATCAGAGACGCATAAGCTTATATTGTAATATAATATATAAGTTATGTAATTACGTCTCTGGGTAACTATTTTTTCTAGCTCATTTGGAACACGGACTAAGATCGCATCTTATATATATTTCCGTGCTTTGAATAAAAGAATATAAAAAAATAATAATCATGTATTTGACCAACATTTAAGTGTATTTTTAATTAATGAAGTGTTCGAAAAGTATCAGAATTATTCTGAAGCCACGGAATTAGCCCGTTCCTGAAATGATAAACCAAACAGCGGAATTATAATATAAACAAATGGATGTGAGGTAGAGCTGGATAACTATTAACAAGTCATCTTCAAATATATTAGTAAAGTGTTAGTAAGATAATATTTTGCATGACCAACATGTACGGAACAAATTGAAAACATGGACAATGGTCCATGGGAGGCAACTCTAACAAAAATAACACATCACAAGAATCGCAGAATTTTGAAATTTGTATCAACTTTGATTTAGAGATTATATTTCTTTCATATATCTCATGAATATAAAATCACCTTAACTTTTCTTTGAAAGTTATATAATTCCATTATAAAATATGATTTTCTATTCTTTATACACATATTTGTTGGAATAATTACTCTCATATATGACAGGGTACTTGAGAGTACGTCGGAGTCAGTGAAAACAATATGGCTGCTCCATAGCGACGGGGTACGCGCCAGCAAGGGAAAAAATCATAATAGTTCATACTGCAACATGAGTCATGGATTACATTTCAGCACCAACATGATCAAATGGGGAAGAAGAGAAACGATGTCATTGATAGCCATACGTTTGCCCCTCAGATAAGTGAAGCAAGCAAACGTATTGCAGCTCGACGCTTGCAAAATTTAGATGGAGGGGTGCCACATTTTATGTTGAATATCAAGTGCAGAGAGCCGCTTGCACCCATCCCCCTTAATCCGGACAAGCAGAAGATACCAACGGTTTCTGAGGAAATCATCGAACCTGACCTTGAATCAAAGGAGGAATCGCATTTAGATACCACTTTAAACACTCCAAAATTATCAGAGAACAACATCAAATTTCCGAAAGATAAAAAGGGCGGGTATGCTCTTCGTACCGGGATCATGGCCGCTAAAGCTAATGTTTTACTAGATGACAGCATCTTTACATTCCGCCCAAAAGTCAGTAGTGCTAGCGTCAAAATAGTAGAAAGTCTTGGTACAGATTTTATGTCCAGACAGCAACAACATTTGGAAAGACAAAAAAGACATGTAAGTAATGTTGACCAAGTAATGACATGAGTGTACACATGCCCTTTCTCAGTTTCTCTTTGTAGAGGTCCATTGTGTCACTACGGTATGAACAGGTCCTTCCGTTCCCAGTTAATTTATTCCTGTTGTTGTAATGTATTATGATACTGTGTTAAGTATTCTCGTGAATAACAGTCGATCAAATATGAATGATAACAAATGATAACGGCATTAGAATATCATAAAAACTTAAGCAGTGTTTGATTTTCTGAAAATTTAGAGTCAAATTGAAAAAATCATGGGGTTTTGATAATTCTTTATTTACAAAGATTGATTTGTTGCTGTTCAGAACTTGAGGGAATTGAATCACTGTGATTAATTGTGAAAAAGGTAGATAAAACACAGCTAATGCCAGTGTTTCCTCATGTCCCGACAATAAACTTTGACAATTTGACAGATAGAAGTCTGGTAAACTAGATATCTGTCAAATATTCTGGTGCTGGTACAGAGGGAATATGGGCTGCAAAATCTTGTGAGCTGTCAAAATGTTGACATGATAGTTAAGGATATTTTTAGAATTAGTATTGGATTTAATTAGTTGCCGCAGTGGCCAAACAGTCAAGGTGTCTGACAATAGCCCTCCACCACTGGGTTGCGGGTTCGATGCCTACGTGGGGCAGTCGCCAGGTACTGGCCGTAGGTCGGTGGTTTTTCTCCGGGAACTCTGGCTTTCCCCACCACCAAAACCTGGCACGTCCCTAAATGGCACCTAGCTGTTAATAGGACGTAAAACACAAACAAACAAATAAAATTAGTCGTTCAGGTCATTTCAATTGTAGTATAAAAAATAAATTTGACTTTATTATGATATAAATATGGGTAGCTTAAATTTCTATAGATGTGAGACTTTTGTCTGAAAGATGGTTTTGCACGTGTTGTGTTTAACTAGGACTGATCAACTTATTTTGAGCTTTTCTTTCATAATATTACCTGCAGACTCAAGTCAATTTGAAATAAATTTCTAAACTGTTATCTGGGAAATCATAAATAAATCGTAATAAGATCTAACAGTAGTTGTTAGTTCCTTCCTAAGATGTACTATGTCCAAGTTGTGATAATACAGCAAAATGGCAATTCTTCTTCAGTTGAGTGGTCCTGTCATTTATAGACACCTTTTACTCACATCTTTACATTTAAATGCCAAAAACCTCTATTCCGTCTTTGCGTATTGCAGAGTTATCTTCTCTTTTGAGCAAGTATTGATTGTTGCGTCATTGGTTTGTGTGAGAAAATTACATCGTTTTCTCAAAAATTGATGACGTTATTCTCACAAACCAATGACGTAACAATCAATACCTGCTCACAAGAGAAGATAAGATAACTCTGCAATACGCAAAGATGGGATATCCACCATGAGGAATAAACTATTTGACCTCAAGTTGGGCAACTACAATTTTCTTAATTCCCTTCTGATATTTGTGATTTTCAAGACCTTTTACTCCAAGGTACAATTAATGTTCAAGTTAACATGTAGTTTTATAGCTATAGGACAGTCCTTTAATTATAAGGGTACAACCATCTGTTTACTGTTAATTATTTTGAAGGTTAAAAAACCCTTATTTGCTTCTGGGTTTTTCTGGTTTTTTTTTTATAAACAAGTGCAGTCAATTTCTTTTCTAATTTGCATTTTATCAAGAAAAGTTACCATAATTGATGTTGCATGCATATGTATATATGATGTTTTTTTGTTTTATTTTATAAAGTTTTGAAAGAGGTAGGAGAAAAAGTGTCAATGATTGAACAACTAAAGGGAATGTAAAAAAAATACCCATGGATGTAGAATTTTCTTGCCTCCAATTCTTTCTTATAGTAGGCTCCTTAAGACTTTAATTAAAAAAAAATTGCTGTTAAGATGGTGTAAAAACCCTTAACAACCATGCTTGTAGCAACAGTATTGAAAAACTGTCGCTATTGACATCTTAATGTTCATTTAAGTGGAAACTTGGCAATCACATGTACATGACATCATATGTGTGCATCATTTTCTGTGTGATTTAAATCATAAGAGAACTTTTTTCATAGATACAAGTTTCTGTTTTCTCTTTTAGATTATTTAAGCTCTAAATGATAATAATGTATATGAACAAATATCATTAAAATACGAAGTTCCAGGAAACTGTTGAACTGTCTAGTATATGACTGGTTATGCCAACATAAGTGTAAATCTTGAACTTGCTGGTTACAACTGTATGTTAACATCTGACATTTATATATATTTCAGATTGAGCAAGCTCCTATCCACTTTTCCAGTCATTCTGGACGTCTTTCACCTGTTTTGGCTAAAGCTGGGAAAAAATCATCAAAATCAAAAGAGGTAATCTCAATAGATAATAGTTTTAAGTTGTTTTCATTAAGAGAATTTTATCATCCCGTTTTATTGGAAACAATAAATCCTGATTGTACATAAGACAAATCGTATACATACCTGTATGTAAAGCCAAATACAGGCTGTTTCCTCTAGCTAAAAAGTGCCTTATTTTCCGAAAATTACCAAAAATGAGGAAATATTCCCAATTTCAATAAAAATGCTTAGATAGTTTCCCAAAGAATAAAGGAACAGGTTGTTGTAAAATTTAAGTTAAATGAACACTGATGATACAATAATAACAGAAATTTCAGCGATGATCAGCTACTTTTATTGGTTGACATTATTTATGATGTCATGTCTTTTTATTTATGGCTTGACTTAAAATTACCACCCCACAACAGAATTTTTTACAGTTTGGTGTGGAAATGATTGCATTTTTCGCGATGAGTTTGTCAGGTTTAATTAGGTTTAACGTCTATTAACAGCTTAATTAGATCATGTAAGGACGTGCCTCCATGTGTGTAATGCAAGTGTGCATGTACATGTGTGTACTGGAGTCGGGTATGTTGATGTATTTGCCTCGATCATTATACAACAGTATGCACAGGTCTGATCCTGACTTAAGAGTGCAATTTCACTGAAATACCAGGCCGAAGACACCCAACACAGTATTCCACCCGATCACATTATACTGACAATGGATAAAACAGTCGTGGCGATTTCCCTAAATGCTGAACATTAATGGGTAATGACAACTACAATTTATTGGGACTTAACTACATTTTGTATATGTCCCGGCCTGGGGACAGACCCGATTGTCTATTACCCACTTGAGCAAAGGTCAACACTTTTTACATTTTGTATATGTCCCGGCCTGGGGAGAGACCCGATTGTCTATTACCCACTTGAGCAAAGGTCAACACTAAGGCCAAAAGTGAGCGGTATTGCCAAGCACAGCACTAGGAAACCAAAATGGTTGTTAGGAAGTAGAGAGAAAATATAAAATATCTCAAATATTGCAATGGGGGCCAGAAAATCAATTTCGGTTTCTCCTTTGCTCCCCTAGCACTGAATACATAGAAGAAAAAAACGTTGATTCGGCAGGTGTCCCACATTAGTCACCTTTTACAAGATTTAGTGGGATATCGTAGGACGTACAGTTCTTTCCTCGAAACCTGCAGGGGAGGTTTACCATTACCGTAAATTAGCGTGAAAGTATCCACACGTCTGTGATACATAAATATGTACATTTCAGAAATAAAGCCAACACAAAAATGTCAACACCATGAGCTTCTGGAAGTCAGTCACAACACAAACATATCCACACCCAAGAAATTTAAACTTTTACAGTATACCAAAAGGCATATATATATATATATCCCGAATGCAAATTTGAGTATTACCCAGGCTTAAAGCTGTCAAAGTAAAAAACATAAAACTTAAAAATTTACTGTATTTTCAAAACATGTTAATAACTTTCAGAACTTATGTGACCTTAATGATTAATAAATGAGGTTTTATGATTCATTAGATCTGTGTTTTTTCACAAAATTCACAGCCAGAAATGTCACACTAACATAGCGAAAGTAATGTAAATTGTGTGTGATTGTTGCGCGTGGCTGCCTCCGTTTTTATTTTTTCTGTATTAAGAAGAACAATACATTAAAATTCATAGTAAGTTCAGTACCTGTTCAAAAATCTTTTTACTAATTTTGGTATTAATACTTATATATACATGTAGCCTTAATAATGAGCTGTAGAAGGGGGATAATTAAATGCTAAAATAAATTTGAAATTGCATAGGAAAGGAATACCTGGTATGTTTTTTCAACAAATGAAATTTTGAAGAATAATGGAAGACTATCCGTGAAAATAAGAATTCAGGTTACATTTAATCAAAATAAGAAATTCATGAAAACATATTTTTTTCGTTGTTTTAAAATAAGCCTGGCAAAACGACATTAATGCACTGTCAGACATGATATTTACGCCATCAAATGTCTTATTTGACAAATACGTACCACAGCAGAAAAAGTAGTATTGTAAGAATAGCAAAAGGGCATATTTGTATTCTGAACTTTGTATTTATTTTTATTGATAAATTATTGGTAAAAATGGAAAAAATGCATAAATAGAAGAAAATAGTAACAATATTTAACAAAACACTGGCAGACTGAAGTGTTGACAATTTAATGTTTAACCCTTTCACCCCTATGTAACTTAAGTAGATTTTTCCATGCATTGATATGGATGAGTCCATTATGGTCTACAGTGGTGAAAGGGTTAATATACACACTGACAGTATTTATTTCTATCATTCTTCTGCGATAAGATGGAACTGTTCAGGGCAAGAAAGGGATTTAGGAAATTTCTATGATCTTGCACCCAATTTCGTGTGACTGTGACATTACACAGTATTTCCACATTGGTGCACCTGTGAACCTGCATTTCTGAAATTATGTTAAATTTTCTTCAGTAACATATAATAATTGACGTCCTGAAATGTGAATTGTAATGACATTTGAAATGACATTTTGGTCACCAGAATGTCAACTGCTAAAAACACAGGGCATCTGAAATTTTCTTCATTGAAATGAACAATTATTTAACAAATATGTTATGAAGCTTTTGCGAAATACATGAAAAGATTATATACTATACTTTTTCACGCTCTTTCTAAACATGTTCTTGGTTAGTCTATGATATCTAGGAAATCAACTGGTATTTACTGTTGCATTCACAATGTCATTGTCAATTTTTACCAAAGGGTATAACTTAATGTAAAATATAAAGTTGGGTGAAATGCAAAGTTTCATTATAAGCCATTAATATTGTTATGCAGAATTTCGTGCTGAGCGACTTGTTATACTAATAGTATATCTATGGAACACGATGATTCGGTTGCGAAATTCACAGGTTTTACTCTATAATAGTTAGCTTCTGTAGGAGTTGGATTATTATTATGTTTAACCATTCAGAAATGTATTGCTTTCAAATTAATCGTGAAACTGCCATAAACCACGTGGAGTCAGTCTAAGGACCAGATAAAAACCCATTGAACACATAATAATAATTTCATCTGACAGTAAAGGTGTACTGGGTAACCTTCGCCCAGTCCAACTTTCATCCATTGCCAGTAAAAAAACATATTTGTACGGGTTTAATTTCCGCTTCCATATTTGATTACTCTGTATTTGAATTTTTTTTTAATAATATTTGGCGATAGCAATTAATTCGCCCTCATTAAGGAGGTCGAAAATGGCAAATGTTTAACTGCTATGAAAAGTATTGAAACTTACAGAAGCTAGGACAAGAATAAGGCCATTAAAAATCAAATTCACTTTTATAATTAAAACAGAGAAAGTGTGGGATGCTTCTTAGCACCTCCTAGCTTCATTTTTTGGCCGATAAAGCTAGATTGGTAATTGGAGATTAGCTTAAGATAGTTTTTACTCGGATTGTAATACTGCATTATGGATGTAAGTAATGTTTTGATAGCAGAGCTCAGTGTATAGTACATATTATGATATTTGTATTATAAACACTTGCGTATTAATTCTACCATGTGTCACCGATTTTACAAGAGGTTTAAATGATTTTTCCCGTTACTCATTTAGACATATATATATATATATAACACTGTACTACATGTTTGATAATGCCCTACCAGCATTCTCAAACTTCTATAATATTGCACGGCTCAATACGGAATTCAGAGTTGTCCCAAAGTGTGGTAGATCGGAATACCTACGTACGCTAGACCTATTTTTCTACCTACACTTATGAGAATCATACAAAGTCCACAACTCGTACTAAGGTCTTTACAACAAGAGCTTAGCTGGTTTTAGATCTTTACGTTGACTGAATGTATGTGGTGTATATATGTATAATAATATATTTTACATTATGTGTATTACAAATCCTCATAGCTATTGAAAATGTGTTTTAAACTTGACAAAGAACGGTCACACCGTGTCAAAGTAATTTTGAGGTCAGAGGTCGCCGGTGATCAATCATCAATAGACAATCCTGGGCTACCCGTAAACAGGGCAGATCAATTTAGCACAAGACAGGAATTCTTTATCTGACGTTGGTTAATAGAGCATTGGGACAGAAAAAAAGGCGTAATTGGAACATGAAAAACGTTAGAGTACGGTGTATTGACTGGTGTAATGTTTGTAACACCTTTTTGGTGGATCAAAGCTGATCTGATACCATCTTCTGTTGAGGCCTAGCTTCTGGAACTCTGGTATGAGACAAGGTATTTTAGCCAAACTAGGTGTTTAGGTACACAACAACACATGGGTGTGCTGACCTGTCAAGACTGAGAGTAAAACAATGGTCAGCAACTAGTGTGTTGTGACCTCGTCAAGTAAAACAATGGTCAGCAACTTGTGTGTTGTGACCTCGTCAAATAAAACAATGGTCAGCAACTTGTGTGTTTTTACTTATGTTACTTTTTCCAGGGTGAGGATGTAGATGGGTTGAAATCAACGTCGGAGACAAACATCGAGTCCGACCAGGATAAAACCGAGTTAACTGCGGAGGAGTTGGAGGAAGGAGCTGACACCATGCCGTCCCCCTTATCCCTGTCTCGCACTAAAACAAGCGTCTCTCCTGGGCTACAGAGGCTGCTTGATGGTAAGTCACCATTCTTCTATACAGAACTGGGTCAGAAAAGACTGAATTTATCACTTAGTGTTAGAAGCTTCAGTAACTTTCATCAGGCAGCCATTGGAGGGTATTCAATTGTAGAGGCGTCACAATTCACCGCGATGCACTTGTACCGCGATTATTTATGTTCGATTCGATTCACGATATGTTTTTCCAGATTTTCGATGCGTCAAGATCTGAATATTAGTGTATGCCGCTTCGGCCGAAACGTCTGTGAGACGTTCAGTAGCATTGGCTTATCTCTAAACCCTCAACCAATTGGAGGCAAGGATGCAATTTTCACAAAGCATTCATAACAAAACGTCGGACCGCCGTAAGGAATTGAAAATTTGTGATGCTCCGGTAAGCTTTAATTCAAAAGTGTGACAACACTGCGGGTTTCCGTGTAGTGGCGGCTTATATATTTTGTTTATATTTAAAATAAAGGTGTATCGAATCGAAATAATCGAATCGTGGTACAAATATCGAGATACGTATCAAATCGTGGTACAAATATTGAGATACCTATTGAATCGTGGGTTAAGTGTATCGTGACAGCTCTATTCAATTGTTGGTGATAAGTTTCTGAGATTTGCCTGAGTTTTATTGGTTTCTACTGTAGGACAAATTTGAGGTTCTTAATTCTCTATTTTTCAAAATGCCTGTATTTGTTAGGTTCTTTGCCATTTCTTTTCTTCATTTGTCAATATTTTACATGAACTGCTTCAAATGCAATAAAAGTTAGTGAAAGTTGCCAGTGTCATGCAAGAAATTTCTTTTGATCATATTCATTGATGTTAATAGGTGCTACTTACTCATTAAAAAACAATTTTTGATATTAAATAAAAGCTGTATCATATAGATATAAGTAGTCAAGTTTCTGTGGTCTACTGGAAAATTTTGTCTCCGTAGTGAACGAGTTGTCACCTTAGCTATCTGTTGTGACGGTCAGCAACAGAATGCAATAAATTATTATACGGTTATTGTCTGTCATGTTTATAAATGGGACAAATGAAATCAAACAAACTGTTTGAACTACCAGCATTAATTGTTCTGCTGTCTCCTTCGGTATTTTATCATTTTATAATGAAATTGGTTATCGTGTCAATCGGTGATAAAACTAGGGCACCCCCAATTTCTCTGACATTGTCTTTCATTTCCTGTTAGGTTTTTCACCCGCCGGTTTAATGATGTAGAGGGATAGTCTGAAAGTTATGGCACTTGTAATTGTCTGCCTGTCAGTGTTTTAATTAGTATTGATCCGGTAGCTATATATAGAGTACCTGACTATTTTATACTAACATCAGGGTAAGGCATCAGGTCGCCTCTGCTGCTTGCTGTCCCATTCTGTCAGACATGGGCAGACGTAGGAGGATGTCATCAAATATTGATCACCCACCCTGTACTGGTATATATCAGACGCTTGTTAAATGTTTACATAGAAACGATGGATCCCATATCCGGAGAAGGAAGTACATGTACATTTCTTTAGGTGAAGTGCAGAGCACTGAGAAGGGCTGATTTTTAAGGCCAGGAATATTTTGATGAAGGAACGTTCATCTGTAGAAATTTGTAAAAGTTGTTGGTGATAGTAGTTTATGTGTGGTTGATTGCGATCAGTTTATCGATACAAGTCGTTGGCCCCCGCACATTGTTGGAGTATGAAGCGTCAGCTCTCTAGAAGTGGAACTGTAGCTTTCAGAAGTACAGGTAGTAAGTAAATATACCACAACCACAGGTGAAAATATGGATTTACAGGTATAAGTTATATATACAGGTGCTATAATGAGGAAAATCCATACAAAATACATTCACCTCCAACGAGGGCTATTATTAATGCTATTTATTCCAATGGTACTGTGCATCATAGACATTACGAGATTATCGACTCCTCTAATGGCTGTTAGCCTGGCTTGGCACTGGTAATGTACCAAGACTCATCGCGGGTCGCTGTTTTCTCAGAGCCATACACCCGTTTCCTATATAGACCTCGAGAATGGCACATTGAACATGATAATTTCTCTGTTGAGATATACTAGAAAGTGTTTCATTCAAATACAAGAAAACTGGGGTGATCCATTAAATACATGACGGGGATCAATAGGTGTTTTATATATATATGATTAGTTTTTTTCTGTATGGGGTAAATTACAGTCACAGATCCTGTATGATACCTGTAATGTTCATCTTTTGCTCCGTATGGAGTTAATTACAGATCCTGTAATACCACTCTAACCATTATTGATTTACTCACCTACCCTCTCGGTAAATGTGAGAAATTTTAATTCATCTTATTATTAGTTAAATTAAAATTATAAAGTTTGTCAAATAAGAAAAAAATCCATTTAACTTTTGCAATAAATGTTTTCATTCCCATTTGAAGTGAACCAAAAGCATGCTGAGATGTTTGTTTTAATCTTGACTCATCCATTCACTTTTGCCTTCTGTAATTTCCAGGTCCTGGTAAGTGCTCCCGTAAGATCTTGTTCAATTTAAATTCACTGTTCAGATGTTTTTAACCCTCAGTATGAAGTGTTGACATCTATATCTTAATTTCTGTCGCACTGTCTGTACTTAACTGGTCCTAACCGTTCTGCCTCGTCAAACTGGTGAAAGATTTACGGTGAACTTGTTGCATGTCTCGAGCTAATCATTCGCAAACCCCACAGTTCCATTTACCAGGGACAATAACCTTATCTAGACATGTCACACAATATGAAATATAGTTGTTAAAAGGTGTTTTTTTTCCTTTTTTCCCCCATATTAATTTGAGACATATCTTTAAAACTAATGTTTTAATTTTTACAATCAAAACATTGATAATACAAATTTGGTGAATTCTAAAATATCAGATATCAGTTTTTCTTTACCAGGTATTCGTTCTTTGGAATTTCTAAATTGACACATATAGCATTATGTTAACTTCACAATTAATCCAATTTTTAATGTCAGTAAATACTTATAATTGTTTCATCTATATCATTATACAACTAATTTTTTATACTAACAGGGAGTTGGAGATATATTGTTTCAGTTTTTGACTTGAAAAAAATTTGAATGCATGTGTTTTGATTGGTGTGTAGAGTATTGTACATTTCTGTGATATTTTAGGAATTGACATTCATACCAGTCATGTCAACTGAAATATGCATGTGTATGTAGTTTTTGCTTGTCAGCAAGTGATGGCCGTAATTATTATCTACCTTAATTACTCATTTAAGTCAGTGGTTAAGGCGTCTGACATTCTGCTACCACTAGCCCTCTACCACTGGGTCCCGGGTTCGAGATCTACAGGGGCAGTCACCAGGTACTGACCGTAGGTCGGTGTTTTTCTCCGGGAACTCCTGCTTTCCTCCACCACCGAAACCTGGCATGTCCTTAAATAGAACATAAAACCCATTCAATAGAACGTAAAACCCACACAAACTAATTATTTATCTCTAAGACATATATTGCAGTAAAAGCTTTGCTTGACCGTATAAGATTTATGATGTAAGGGCTATTCCAGAAATACATTTATATTTTTCTCGAGTCACTATATGTACAATTCAGTTTTTATTTTGACTTAACCACCAATGTACAAGTGCCAAGTGTTTTTGTCTGCCTATATATTGACATACCTGGGTATATGAAATTGCTCTTATAAAGGACCTTTGTATTGAAGTCTGTGAGAAATATCTAATTCATGGCTTTTAAATCCATCATGAGGGAAAACTATCACTTTTACTTATTTTTAATTTTCACTTTCCTTGTTTTTGAATAACAAGTTTTACCTGGGACACATACATTTAAACTTTGGATACCTCTAGAATAAAATTCTTTCTAGTTTAGATATATGGTCGGTATAATGTGATGACTGCAGGCAACACAATAGTTATTGGAAACTAAGACAGACAAACTTGAGAGGGGTCTTGTAATTTACAAGTTAAACGATATTGATTATATAGGCGTAAATTTGTATAGTAATCCAGCCCTTCTCTGTCTCCAAGCAGACGACATTGATCAGGTATACATTTCACTGTGGAGGCCATGGACTTAAAGGTGTCAAATGCACCTTTATTGATTAGGTATTCATTTCACTACACAGAGCAATATTAACTTAGTGGTGCTAAACACACCATATTGACTATTTCACGATATAGACCATTGACTTAATGGTGCTAAACACACCATATTGACTATTTCACGGTATGGACCATTGACTTAATGGTGCTAAACACACCATATTGACTATTTCACGATATAGACCATTACAATGCATACTAAAACTTGGGCCATTTTATTCATGGCATGAAATCAACCGATATTTTCAAATTGTATATAAGAATTTTTTTTAAGTTAATTTAAATCACACTCAAACTCAAGTCAAGGAAATCTGTTTTGCCAAAACAATTTTGTGAATTTTGTTCAAATTACTTTAAAACTAAACCTATCAGTCATGTCAGTCATATTTGAATTCACATGCAAAATACAATAATCCAGAAATCCAGGAAAAGTCTCCACTTTAAGCTACAAGTTTCATAAGTTATGAAAGGCAGATCTATGTACATTGTATTGTATTATTAAGATCAAAGGTGAAGGTCACTATATAAATAGAGTTTCAGGAGTTTCTCAATTCGACTGTAGAAAAGACTTCGCTGTAGTTATTAGTATATAAATGCAATGTCATGCAAGTTAGGGATTAAAGACTTGATGTCAGTGAATTCAGTCTAGATTTGTCAGGGCCAATGTAAGATTTACATTTTGATGAGATAAGTTCAAGGCCACTTGCTTTAATCATGTTGAAGATTTTTTTTAATGATTTTCCATTTTGATGCATTGTATTAATTATCATTTATAAAATGACGTATATATGGTGAGCGAATGTGAAACAGCTCATTACCCCAAGCACAGAGTAAATATGAATTAATCGGCTTATCGCATTTGGGCTAGAGATCGAGTCAATATTGTGATTGCTCATATATGTGTCAGCTGGTTGTCAATATCAAACTACTTTGTCATCAAGTTCCAATTTCATCAGTGTATAGAAGACAGATCCTTTAAAAAGCCTTTGAATTATTTTTGTATACAACTCATATGTTCAGTCAGGGATTGTGCTTAGTTAAGAATACATTATTATTTATTTTTCAATCATATACACTTTCTGAATGAGTAAGTGCCAAGGTGTCGACATTTACCAACATTTTTCACAATACACTAGGCCGCCAGTCCTATAGAACTGTGTTAAGTATGGGACCTTGGGAGAACCTATAGCGCAACAACATTATAAAACCAAAAAGAAATTTTAATTATAAACCAGACCCTATAATTTTATGTTCCATTTTACACATGATTTATTCAGTTGAATAAGATTGATGCAAAAAAATAAATTTCTCATTTATGCAGACACAGGAAAATGGGAACATGCACAGGCATGATTCTAGTTTGGGAATAATAAATAAAGCAATTGACTGCCGGAAAGAACTAGAAATGTTTACCTGTATACTTCTATCAAAATTTAAGAGATCCCTATTTAATTGTGTAAGCCTAAAGGAGATGGCTGGGGTCGACCGAGTCCAAACTTAAATGACATGTAGTGGTTTACTTACTATAGCAAATGTATTGGATCTGTCTCTACAGGATATATCACTAGTAACCTTTGTGTTGTCCGATTTGACGGGCTGCTGCACAGTATTCGTACAGGGAACGTAAGATTAGTCATATAGGTGTCGTACGTGCATTAAGTCACCAACATGACATAAAATGCCAACACAAAGATTGCTTAGTGCAACGCTACATGTGAAAAGCACAGGTAAATGTCCGCTCGACTTATTTGAAGTTTGATTAAAAAAAAAAATACCATGTGCACATTCTTATTGACATTATGATTATGTAGATTTAAAAATTGTTGAATGTCGTCTGAGCTCTGATTGGTGAGGGAGGTTTTATCAACTTTAAACATGGACGAGGTGAGCAATGAGTAGTAACAAGCGAGGGACAGAAATTTATATCTATGAAACACTCTGCTATCATGGAAGAACACTAAAGCTATATTATTGAGCATTCATCTATCGTTATATTTGTTTAGATCTTTGAAGTACATTTAATTATAAACTAATTAGGCTTAACTGGATTTTTTTTATGATTTGGGTATATTTTTTATTATTTCAGTTTTAGATTTGCCAAATTGGTAAATATTCATGAGTTTCCATCGTTTTTTTTTAACTGTTCCACAGGTCCCTATGCCAATGGAAACCCTGATATGGTGTTGAAGCGACAGAAACAGAAAATGGGAAGTCATGTGACAAAGTCAAAGCCTGCAGGAGATGCTAGTCTGGACGACACAGCTGGTATGTGAAATTGTGAGGGATAACTTGTCAATTTATAAGTGTCTCATCAAGTGAAGTTGTCTAGATATCAATGTTTGAAGATTTCTTACATGAAAGAAAAAAGATATGGAACAGAATCGAGATCGGCTGATATTGTTATTCGTTCTGAGGAAGTAAATCTGTTGTGTTTACTGTATATTGTGTTAGGTGCTAAGAATAGCCGTTTTTTTTCACCAGGTGACCTGCCCACATCAATGTCTAGAAGCAAAACCATGCCGACCCTCAGCCGTCCGAAGATCTCCCGTAAGATGCCTGCCAACAACAACCCATCAGGTGTTATAAGTACAGATCGGCTAAAACATGCCAAGGAAACAGCAGAGCGGGCAATCAAGGTGTGTTTGAATGTTCGCTATAAAGAGAAGGTTTTTTGATTTGCACCTTTAATGTAAATATTGTAAATCAAAAATGTTATCACTTCATAAAAAAAAAAAAAAATTGCGGATTTTTTTCCCATTCTGAGCATTTAGTTCTTTGCGAAAACATCATGCTGGTCGATTTTATTAATAAAAATATTTTTATGATTCATAGCAACGAAAGGTCTTCACAATCCAAGGAGGATACTCCGGGGTGAGGCAGAGTTTACGTCAGAGAGGCTGGGTGGAAAAGTTCTACAGAATTCAAGGACCTCCTAAGAAAACTCGGCGGAAACGCAGAAAAACTGCGGATGGCGACGATGATTCAGATGATGATGATGATGATGACGACGATGATGATGACGATGATGATACGGATAGCGACAGTATGTATACACGTTTTATATCCCCATATTGACTGACACAAGATCATTGGATATTTACCCAAACAACTGCAGCTGTACTTTTAATTTAATGAAAATATACTGTTATTGAAGCTGTCGTAATTATTATTTACAATCCAGGATAGCAATAGTTAGACATTACCAGTACCTTCCTGAATTGCCATTTCCGACAGATATCTAGCTGCTGAAATAGTTAGATTTTTAATTATTAGCAGAAATGCTGAGGACCTAGCTCATTCAAATACAGGATAACAGTTAAAGGATTTTGTTGTAAAAATATCAAATTAAAATCCTATTGACAACAGGTTTAAATCTCAACAAAGAAAAAAACGTAATCTTGTACAGGCAATAAATATCTACCAAATTACTTTAACTAAGAAAACCTGTCTGCATTCATGTATATACACCAATCATAAAAACACCTTTCAATTTCCATTATGAACGTTTCTTTTTTTAGCCCCTTAATCCTATTGATCACAGAAAACATTCTCTGACACGGACCGTACAGGGATTAATTTCTCTGCTGACATTTACTCCGCTATTGATTCATATTGTCAGAACTAACGGCATCAACTTAATCTGCTCACAGCGATATGAATACATCTCAAACGCTTTGTACATTTGTAGCGTACCGTAATTACCCATGTTCATGTCACACTCAACCGTTATCTACACAGGCTTCTGGTATAAATACTCGGGGCTTTTATCAGGATTTCTCCCCCCACTATTTTGGGAATGGGGCTGGTGGTTTTAGAATTGTGAAAAAAACTTGTCATTGTAGTATTTAAACCAAATTGGGAAATTTCAGAATTATAACAAAAACTGAAATATCCTAATATAAAAAAGATTATCTCATTTTAGATATTGCTTTTGGTTTTTCATCTGAATGCAACTGTGAATTACAAAAAAAAAACACAAAAAAACCCTGAGAAATTAAAAAAGAATATTGGAAATAAAAGTGACATTTTCCATTGGGAATATGGGGCCAAGTTTCAGCCCCAAAAGGGCCCCAGAAGAAGTCTGGTTACATTTTGTGCTGTTGGCTGTTTAAAGTACTTGTAATTCATTGCTTATATTACCTATACAAAATGTACATACAATAAAACACAGTGTGATATAGCATTACGCCAAGGTAATTGTGTAATCTGATCAATAGATTACCTAGTTGAGGTGCATATAAATCTACCTCTCTTGTTGACACTATCCAGCTGCCTGTAGTGTATCGTAAGAGCACATTCTGGAATAAAATTATGTCACTCGTTCTTTGGCCTTAATTTGCCTCGTCATAATAACAGTACAGCAATACAGTGTAGCTAAGAACACAGCTATAGATCATTTTCATGTCAGCATACCTAGGCCTGTCTATCATATTTGAATAAAGTTAAAACTTTTTTAATTGATTCACATGTTGATTTGAAGTTTGACATGTGTATGCAAGTGGTTATATATATATATATATAAGAATTTAGGTAAGCAGTTTTTATTTTTATTTTTTTAATTGTTTTTTTGCATGCAAATGCAAAGAGTGTCATTTTAAACATATATATGTATACTACATACTTACAAATTACAGTGACAAATAGTGTAACATCACAGTGATTTTTCAACCTAGTTTTACAGCAGGAAACAGATTGTTACTCATAGCAAAAAACACACTTTATTTTCCCAAAATGAGGCAAATATGAAAAATGTCCTTCAAATTTAAATAAAAATATGGCTATATTTTCCCATTTCATGTAGGAACCGGTTGCTATAAAATTTAGGTTGAAATAACACTGCATTACATACTACAGTGACAAACAAGGTACATTAAATTGTTCATAAAGCACAACCATTGAAAATGTTTTATGTATGACATTTCGATGACTATAGTACGATATGTATTCTGTCACCTTTACCAGACACACCTGGCATTGTCTGATAAATGTGTCAGAATACATATCGTACCTAAGTCATCAAAATGTCACACATATACAAAAATCACTGGGTGTGCTGTATGTATACAATCTTCACTTACCAACCTGGGGGAAAATGTACATTAAAATGAACACCATTGTTTTAATTTAACCCTTTCAACCCTATGTAACTTTAATAGACTCTACCATGCATTGATCTGGATAAGTCCATTATGGTCTACGGTGGTGAAAGGGTTAATTAATCCTAACTGATATTAACCACAGAACACTTAATACATTTCAATCCCTAATTTGTAGATGACCAGCCAAAGATAGCTCCATGGGATGAGGATGACGGAATCTATGGCATCATGGTAAGTTTTCTTCCCAATTTTCATCTTTGTAAGCTGATGGTAAAAGTTGCTGATGGTTTATTATTGTCAAAGAAGAATTATGGCTGTAAATAGGTCCACGTTAAATGCACCTGGGTCATTTGGTTCAAGTCGGTTAAAAAATTTGAAAAAAAACTTTTTTCTCATAGTGACAAATAGAGCGTCACCAGACTTGCAAAAGTTATTCAGCAAGCTATCAGGAAAAGTTTTCAGAGACTTAAAGTTACAAACTTGGTTTATAGTGCATGAAACAACACTTTTCTCACTAAACGATGAATAAAAAACTTGGATGTGTAAATACCATGTTTAAACCTTGATATACATGTGTATTGCCATGATCTTTCCAGAAAATTTTGACATAATAAAAGGGTTTAGTAATATATAGATGATATGTATTAAAGAATTGTTTTTGGAAAAAATGGGGAAAGGAGACGAGATGTTTTAAGGGATCCCGGAGTTGGCAAATAAAACCAGGGGCATTTTATGAAGGTTTTACTATGTTTCACAAATATATTTCATAGTTCCTAACTGGTTAGTGATCTTATGAGTACAAAGTAAAAATTATTGCCCTATATATATTTTATTAATTTTCCCCATTTTAAAACTTAATTGTAGAGTTGAATGAAGAAATGAATAAATTATTGTGTAAGGTTTGTTAGTCATGTGAAATTTGAGACACATTTTGAATTTATTTTCAACAATCATTCTACTGATATTTTCAGTCACGTATCGTTCGCAATATCAACCCCACTTTCATCTGGGTGTTGAAGAGAGACATTGTCGACTACAGGTTTCTTACGAGAGATCAGATGGTAAACCACTTCTGTAAAGCTGGTTCATTTACAACAAAGGTAAGTCAGCGGTGTACAATTTCAAATGTAGGAATACAAGCCGAAGGTTGTTTTTGAAGTTTCACTTATCTTATATTACCTGTATTTTCATATCACATAGTAAATATTGAAAATTTGCACTTGGCCCAAAAATAAATCAACTAGCCTCGGGCATCAGGCAAGGTGACGCAGTGCACACCCCTGTTACTTTATCTTAGTTTCTTTTACCACACAGGTATGTTCTCAAAATTTCAAAATCCCACAGATCATTTTCACTGGTAGATCAAGGGAGGTAATTAGAATAATTGTCAAATTCTTATACTACTTTCATATACAATAAAGATAATGTTATTTTTCCACTATGTGTGTTGCCTGTTTTTTTAATTTTTCTTCTGTTTTCAGGTTGGTTTGACCGTCAATATGAGAAATGTGCCATGGTTTGACAACTCTGATCCTGGAGGATTTTTCCCGCGATGTTTTCGTCTTAGTCATGAGGAAGAAAAAGTTGCTTTTATAGGTAAGGCTATTGATCTTCTGCTAAACCAGGCTGGTCTCATTCATCAGTTTCAATTGGAATATGGAATATTGCCGTTGTTAATTGCTTTATTGATAATGATACAGGAATCGCTATATATGATTATAATTATACTTAACAGATTATTCTGTAACAAAATAATGACTAGACTGTGATGTCAGGGGACTATAAATTTTAGAAAATGGAATGCTGATATTAGACAAACCTATTTTTATTTTTGAAAAAAAATCTTCAAAGTTTTTGTATTTGATATCGACTTGTACAACATGCTTTGGCTTAGTAATTGGTAAGCCTTTTCTGTTTTTGACAGAGGACTACCGCCAGACGGCCTGTATGAATGTGCTGAAAGCTGTCAGTGCCCATTACATGGAGGCTGGGCTGTCAGAGACGGGGGAGGAGGAAGAGAAACGGGATGTCGGTAGCGAGAAGGAAAACGCGACACCCTTCATCTGTACAGACCCTGAATGCACACGTTCACGCCCAGGAACCAGTTCCGGCAATCTGTGCGTCCATGCTTTAGAAAAACAGAAACTTCTGGAAAGGGAGAAATCTGAGCTCAAAGACAAAGTGCCAAATCTACCCAAAGGTAAGTTACTATAAAAGTTGATATCCAGGTAGAGTGGCAATCACATAAAATATATGTCTTTCTCTCATTTCCGTGTGTGCAAGATAGAACTGTCCAGGGTAAGCAACGGGTGTAGGAAACTATCTTGCACCCCATTTCACATGACGTCACAATGGCTTGACAATGACTTGACATCATGAAATTGGAACTCTCCAATGCCGCAAAGCGGAAAAGGCGACGTGATGAAATTTAAAACCTTGTATGATTTATTTAATGAGCAAGAAATGGAATCCATCCCTGATGAGAGGTACAGATAAGGTAATTCAAACCCTTGGGATGAAATATTGAGCAGAAGACCCTCAGCAAAGCCTCTGGTCTCCTGCTCAACATTTTATCCCTTGGGTTTGAATTACCTTATCTGTACCTCTCATCAGGGATGGATTCTATTAATCTGTTTATAAATTTCAACAACTTTACATCATTCTGGTTCATCTGGATGGACAGATTCGACTGTCTTATTGACTGTAATGATTGAATATGCTAAAAGTCTTTGTTGCTGATTATCCTGTTGCAGTGTCAACGTCCAGATCGGACAAGTCCACCTCAGCGTTTAAAAAGATTATGAAGAAGAAGAAACGTGTGATGGTGCCCCTACAGTGCCTGGAACGTGCAATACAGCAATGTGAACGCTATCTTGAAGAGAAAGAGCATGAAGACATTGATGTCATGTCATCGGTAAGATTTATTTTATAGTTACTTTGTGAGAGGAAAAGGCAATGCCTTTATCTAGTTACTTTGCGAGATCATCTAGGCACTATAATTTATCAGAGAAAAGACTATAAAGCCCTGCACTGTCCTATATAATAGATACTCGGTAGTGAAGCGGACGTAAAACCTTTCAATCAATCAATCAATCAATCAATATATAATAGATAGTAAACTGGTAGGGCCGCAACAACATATTGTATTGTATCCTATCATGATACTTTCTTTGTGTTGTTAAATAGTTTTGTTTGGCTGTATCTTGATTCACCAAAAGGGCTGAAATTATCGATCAGTTTCTGTATTGCTTTGGAATCCTTCAGTAAAGATGTGGCCCACTGCCCAAAAGTACTGATAATCAGGGAAAAAATATTTTGACGTTATTTACTATATTAGTCAATGACAAAACTCTAAAACCCTGCACTCAATCATTATGATGTTGACCAGCTGTGTATCATGATGTGTATCAGGATTCGTATCGTAAGTATGATACGTATCGTATCCTGAGGTAGGTGTATCGTTGCAGTCCTAGTAAATTATCTGCTTTAGTCACTGGGAGAACAGGAATGCTCTCGTTATATATAAATATCCTTTTGTCGGCTGTAGATGTTCTTTGTGCCCAGACTAACAATTGTTTCATTATAACCAATGTTTCTATGTTGCAGACTAATGATTTGACACAAGCTCAGTGGGATGAGTTCATGGTGTGGTACTACCAGCTGTGCCAGTGAGTATAGATACTCAGTGTTGTAGGATTTTTTAGTGTCTGGGTTTTAAGTAATCGCTTTATCAGTGCATCAATTTGTGTTTGAGTCAGTGTGTCTGCATGTCCATACATAGTAAAATTCTAATCTACATTTAAGATATCTCATCGACCCCTGAACACATTAAGTTCATATTTACCGTAGTTTGGTAATATCAAGCTCTATATACCTGATTAGAATTTGATGGTCATCTGTTGAAGTTAGAGAGTCAAAGGTCATGGTCAAAAGATCAAATTTTACCACTTTTGAAGTAAAAGACTTGTGAATTATAATCTCACAAAACCATGCATTGTATTGATTATATAAATTGTCTTTACAGTATGATCCATATGAAATGTTGTGCTATAAAAAAGTTCAAAGATTTGTATTAATATAAAATAAATATGTCTTGACTGTGCGATGTTACAGTGATGGAGGGGTGATCTCTGGCGTCCCAGAGAACATGCTTACAGAGGTGGAGAACCTCACCAACCGTCTCAAGTCCAAACACACACAGTATGAACTAGATGGAATGAGGAATGTATGGATTGTAAAACCTGGTGCCAAGTCACGAGGCAGAGGTAAGTATCTAAACCTGGGGCCAAGTCATGAGACAGGGGTTAGTATCTAAACCTGGGGCCAAGTCACTAGGCAGGGGTTAGTATCTAAACCTGGGGCCGTGTCACGGGGACATGTTAGTATCTAAACCTGGGGCCGAGTCACGGGGCAGAGGTAAGTATCTAAACCTGGGGCCAAGTCACTAGGTAGGGGTTAGTATCTAAACCTTGGGCAAAGTAACAGGCTGCAGGGGAGGGGTTAGTATCTAAACCTTGGGCCAAGTCACTAGGTAGGTTAGTATCTAAACCTAGGGACAAGTAACAGGGGAGGGGTTATAGTGTCTAAACCTGGGGCTGAGTCACTGGAGAGGGGTTAGTGTCTAAACCTGGGGCCGAGTCACGGGGACATGTTAGTATCTAAACCTGGGGCCGAGTCACGGGGCAGAGGTAAGTATCTAAACCTGGGGCCAAGTCACTAGGTAGGGGTTAGTATCTAAACCTGGGGCCAAGTCACTAGGCAGGGGTTAGTATCTAAACCTGGGGCCGAGTCACGGGGCAGAGGTAAGTATCTAAACCTGGGGCCGAGTCACTAGGTAGGGGTTAGTATCTAAACCTGGGGCCAAGTCACTATAGGCAGGGGTTAGTATCTAAACCTTGGGCAAAGTAACAGGCTGCAGGGGAGGGGTTAGTATCTAAACCTTGGGCCAAGTCACTAGGTAGGGTTAGTATCTAAACCTAGGGACAAGTAACAGGGGAGGGGTTATAGTGTCTAAACCTGGGGCTGAGTCACTGGGGAGGGGTTAGTGTCTAAACCTGGGGCCGAGTCACGGGGACATGTTAGTATCTAAACCTGGGGCCGAGTCACGGGGCAGAGGTAAGTATCTAAACCTGGGGCCAAGTCACTAGGTAGGGGTTAGTATCTAAACCTGGTGCCAAGTCATGAGGCAGGGGTTAGTATCTAAACCTGGTGCCAAGTCATGAGGCAGGGGTTAGTATCTAAACCTGGTGCCAAGTCATGAGGCAGGGGTTAGTATCTAAACCTGGTGCCAAGTCATGAGGCAGGGGTTAGTATCTAAACCTGGTGCCAAGTCATGAGGCAGGGGTTAGTATCTAAACCTGGTGCCAAGTCATGAGGCAGGGGTTAGTATCTAAACCTGGTGCCAAGTCATGAGGCAGGGGTTAGTATCTAAACCTGGTGCCAAGTCATGAGGCAGGGGTTAGTATCTAAACCTGGTGCCAAGTCATGAGGCAGGGGTTAGTATCTAAACCTGGTGCCAAGTCATGAGGCAGGGGTTAGTATCTAAACCTGGTGCCAAGTCATGAGGCAGGGGTTAGTATCTAAACCTGGTGCCAAGTCATGAGGCAGGGGTTAGTATCTGCACAAACATGTTCATGATCGAGTGTATTTTCCTAACTCTAAAAGCAGTGTTACCTAGCTGTTTACTAAGTTTCTTGTAATTGGAAACCTTATACACATATTGGACTCAATGTATCTGTATTGTTTCATGGACTTCCCTATTGGTGGTAACTTGATGAATATTCATCAGAAGTCATACTTTGTTTTATATTTCTCATCTAGTTATTCAAGTTACAGTAATAATTGTGAAACATGCCGATTTAGAATTTGTTTTAGGATGAATTTTCATCGAGGCTTTTTACTCTTCATCTTATTTAGGAATCGTGTGTTATGATAAATTGGAAGATATGCTGAAACTAGTCAACAGCCAGGTGGTGAGAAAGGACAACAAATACGTGGTTCAGAAATACATAGGTAAGTACATGTATAAGGTATTGTCACAAAAGACACTTGGATTTGGATTTGTTGTTACTATATTTTCAAATTGCTTTCAAATATACAACATAATGTCTTATGAAAAGTTCCTTTTTACGCAACCAACACAATTTTCTATGTGACGTTTCAATGACTAGTACGATATTTACACTGTCACCTTCATCAGACAAATGACCAGTGACACGTATGCACACAAAGGTGTAAAATGTGTACGAGTGGTCCACAAAATCGATTTCATTTCGGTACATATATAACAACTATTGTACATACGCTTACAGCATAGCCGAAATCGACATCGATTTTGTGGACAACTCGTACACATTTTACACCTTTTTGTGTGAACGCCTCACTGGTCATTTGTCTGATGAAGGTGATAGCTAGTGTACATATCGTACTAGTCATCGAAACGTCACATATAGAGTAAATTTTATTGAATGTGTAAAAAAGAACTTTTCATAATCCATACTTACCAACCTGAATAAAAATGTTTAGAAATCCATGTCTGTTTACTAACAGTATACCAGAGATATTCAGCACATTTGAACTTTCACTTTTATATCTTTCCGTAGTGTGAATTTATCATTACATTGAACAGTAGTATACAATAAAGGTAGCATCCTAATTAAATGTGACGGGCGTAATAAAGACTGGGCGAATATGATTTTACAGGTGTAGGGCAAAAGTTTTATTGGACCAAAGTTTGAATGGTATGTTATTAGTATGCAGGATGAAATGTAAAAATTGATAAGAAAATTTAGTAGAAAGAAGAATATATTAATTAAACCGACCGATACTCTATTATTTATAGAAAACCAATATTATTATCCACCTGTAGTTCAGTATAAGAACTGAATATACTTTCTGATAATTAATTATCAAACTAATTTCGTGAACACATACAATTACTCTAATTGGGAATATATATATTTGCATTTACTTTCACCTCAACTATTAATGATTAATGTTATTCAAATAATTACTCAGATAATACATTGTACATGTATGGCCATGCTTTTGTCAGAATATGTTACAACCATATTGAGTTGACAGCAGAGGATTTTAGTAGTCCTACAATCAGAATAAAATCTGTGTATAAAGTTTTCCATATCTCCAGATTGTAAATGGAATTCTATGATTACTACAGTCCACTTACTGAAACAATTTTGTATGGAATTTACAAAGTCCAATTTTATCTATATACGAGGTAGGTGTTTGATTTGAGTTGATAATGTCATGTGACCTTGTGTTACAGAGCGCCCCCTGCTGATCTACAACTGTAAGTTTGACATCCGTCAGTGGTTCCTCGTGACGGATTGGAACCCCCTCACACTCTGGTTCTATCAAGATAGCTACCTCCGATTCTGTTCCCAGGAGTACACACTGGACGACTTTGACGAGTCTATTCACCTGTCTAACAATGCCATACAGAAAAACTACAAGAACGGCCATCGTAACCCTAACCTACCCGCAGACAACATGTGGACACATGAACAGTTCAAGGAATACATCAAGTATGGAGATTTATAGTATTGTATAGTGATATTCATACATTTAATTTTGTATGTAAACACTACATACATTGCAAGCTCTACACTTTATTTAAAGATTATCCCTGAAAACTTTCATTAATTGTATAGGTTCAGTATGCATACAAAGGGGTTATCAAAAATAGCAGATTCTACAAAATGATGCAGAATTTTTTTATTATTATCACTTAAAGTTTCATTTAAAAACAAAAATAATACATATATGTTTTCAAAATAAAGTCTTAAGTTGTACAATAAAACTGGTTTATTTATGCACCCAAGAGGAACTGAAGTTCTCAAAAATACAGGGAAAAGTCGTTATAATGCATTTCCTTGCCAAAAGCACAAATACTACTTTCTTAATCACCTTAAATTTGTGTGTTGATATCAAACATGTTTGACTATATTTCCGTATAATGTCTCCACAATAAGAAGTAATTTGTGACTTACATCTTCGTATGACTGTTTTGTAGGTAATTTGTGACTTACATCTTCGTATGACAGTTTTTTAGGTAATTTGTGACTTACATCTTCGTATGACTGTTTTGTAGGTAATTTATAACTTACATCTTCGTATGACTCTTTTGTAGATCTAAGAACAAGGGAAACCTATTTGATGACATGATCTACCCCGGGATGAAGAAGGCCATCATCTGTGCACTGTTGTGTACACAGGACCTCATCGAGTACAGAAAGGTGACACACTGAACACACCTACAATGGGTCCATCACTCTAAAAAGGAGATTTCTCCCTTTTACCACTCTAAAACGGAGTTTTCTCCCTTTTGTCAAGCAAAAAATGTCCTTATTTCGAAATTGGTCTTCTTCATAATTTGTCCTGGCAAACATAAATGATACGCCCAAAAACCCAACATACAGAATAACAAGTCTGTTACATCATCAGATAAATCCAGTAATAAGCCCATGCCTAATGATAAAACAAATACTGTATACCGAAAATGTTTCGTCCAGTCTACTTTTCGCTCTTTGACTGTAAAATCCATTTTCACCCAATGTTGAATTCGCCCTTCACATTCGATTACTATGTATATTATGTTGTTAACAAATGCTTGCTCTAATGATAAATTTGCCCTCATTACGGTGGGCAAAACTTTTAACTGCCATGAACATTTTCCTCTATAGGGTAATATTTCAACGTCCTGTAATAAGCCAACTGAAACAGAGATTTTGTGTTGGCTCTCTGGGCTCATATTGCAAGATAAAAACGGCATGAGTTAACCACGGATTGACTTTCATTATTTCATCAATCTCTGTAGAATGCCTTCAAACTAACGACTACCACTTCTGTAAGTGTAGATAGTGTACAGTTTGGTGTTAAATGTATCTGTTTGTACTTTTCAGTCGTCGTTCGAGTTATATGGTGCTGATTTCATGTTGACGGATGATTATCGTCCATGGCTGATAGAGATCAATTCTAGTCCGAGTATGGAGAACAGCACGGCAGTCACTTCTCGGCTGTGTAATAATGTACTGGAGGACACCCTCAAAGGTTAGACTTGGCGGGTTGTCTCCCCTTTTTTTTTTTTTTTTTAATTCATGCTTCTATTGGTCCAACCAGCGTTTATTTTAAAATAAAAAGATGTACCTTAAATATTCTGGTATTATTTTCTGAAAAATTGTGGTAAAAGCCTTGAAGTCCCATATTAATTTCTGCAACTCAACAAGGTTTTACCGTTTGATTTAAAAATAGACATTCTGATCATTCTACACAAAATTGTCGTTTCAGACAAATTGGTCTTTCTAGATAAACAAAAACCCCTTGGGTTACCTATTCATTGCGTTACGTAATGAAAGTTGAAATTTTGTTTTTGTTTGAAGTAGAGACGGATTAGATTTTCTCTGTCAGTTTCTCATGCAGCTTCTTGTCTTGATAAATCAAATCGTTAAGATAGAAAAGAACCAGCATTATGATTTATTTTTCTCAAATGTTGCTTTTATACATTTTTATTCATGATTGGTTTTTGGAGATACTTAAAATTATATAAAATTTCATGTTTCATGTATTGCAGTTGTGATAGATCGAAAGTACGACAGGAACTGTGATGTGGGTCGGTTTGAATTGGCTTACAAACAGCCAGTAGTTACCGTTCCGCCCTATATCGGAATCAGTTTGTGTGCGGAGGGCACCGGTGTTCGTAGGCCAGCAGGATTTGTGAAACGCAACACTGCCGGTACTGATAATGGTGAAAGTCAACAGTACTTCTCCCCACGGAAAAATCTAGGGAACCAAGACAACATCAAGGACACTAATAATAAGAGTTTTACCTGTACAGGTGTCACTCGTCGGCCACGGAGTGAGAACAATGAGAGCATCACCCACAAAGCCGCGACAGTGAACTCTGCACCAGCCAAGGCGACAAAGTCATCCAATCAGGAGGCTTCTTCTGTTTACTATCATGCCTCACGCAATCAGCGCAAGAACGTTATGAATGGTAACACTAAAAACTCTGTGACACTGTCTGCTAATATTAGAAAGTCACCCACTACCGGCAACAGTCATGTTGTATTGTCGAGTAGTAGTTCCAGCAACCACTCGGACTCGGACCGATTCGGGGACCGGGCTGGGGACAGGGACGTCACGCGGGACGTGTCTGTGTTTAATAAGGAGAACAATCACCCACTGCAAGCATCATCGTTTCCCCGTCCGGAGAAATCGTCTTCTCTACCGTCAACGATGGGCAGTAACTACATCACAGCCATACCCGGCAAAAAGATGGTGTCAAAGACATCTGTGTCGAATAATTATTCCATTCCTGCGGACAAGTTGGAAAGACCCGTGCTCGTAGTCAACAATGTGGAATCTACAGATCTGCAGACTATCAAACCTTTGCCCTCGGCCTCGAACCCTTCTAACACAAAAGGTAATAAAGAATTACACACCATGTACAGGTTATCAGGCTTTCCAGCTGCAAGAGCACCCAGGGTTCATAATAAACGAGGGCATGTGCACTCACGGCCAATTGGACATCACATTCGCAAGCAACGTGATTATGCCAGACGGCCTGAGGTCAGGATTAAGTTCCCAAAAGTGCCCTATGCTAGTATCAATGTTAGTTTCAATGAAAATGTCACACCAAAGCTAAAGTACTTCAACTTAGAGAAGGAGGATGATGATATGTACCAGCCCGAGCTGGCTGTGGTGACACGATAGATGACACACACTGGGTCACACCCGCAAATCTTATTCTAGCTGTCAAACTCTTGTCAGAGTTGAGACATCTGGGCTTTCTTGCTATCCTAAACTATTGTCAGTTTTTTGCAAATCTAGAGGTCAGAATCACCATTCTCCTAGTTGTGAAATGTGTTGGTACTATTTGAAACTATATGGTACCTCTAGCCTGCCTTGATTATGGAATATTTCAGTCATCTCCTGAGTTGCCTAATCAAATTGCTACTTTTTTTCCTATAACTGGTCTGTATCTACCGACACATGTATATCGAGAAGACATACATTACACATTAGTTGTAACTTCTACTGGTACTATACACTATCCGCAATGCATACATTACATTTACACTATCCACATTGTATAAGCAGGAGGATCTAGAAATCCCATATACAGCCTGTTTGAGATATTATTTTACCCCTTTATGGTTAAGTCATTTTATTTTTGTTTTAATGTGAATTATTTATGTTTCACTAAAGATTTGAAATTGTTTTACCAAATCATTTTCGATCTCTCTTTTGTTATGACAGACACAAACTTACCATAGTCACACCAACATAACTAAGTCTGACAGGGGGATATTCATTACATATAAAACACTGCTTTGGTTTTGAATGTTCAATCACATGGTCAGAAAGAGATATCAGCTTTCAGATTGTCTCTTTTCATGGCATTCCATTGTAATTTAAATGATACAATGGAATGTTATCCCAGAACCTGTATAGTATTATATCTCAACAGGACTGGGGCATTGTATTATGTTTACAGGTCAAAGTATATATATTTTTTAAATATGGTAAACTTACCGAGTATTTAAAGTTGAGCTTTCACTGATATTCTGGGTTTTTTGAAGTATTATCTTATTTTTATGATTGGAAATAAGAGTATAAATGTATGGGTAATTATTTTGAATTTCGATAATTCATTGGGTTGCAATTACTATAAATGCACAGGGGCCATGGAGTTTCTTTGCATGTACACAGAACACATGTACTGAACATAAATATACAGATAAATAACTATAAGTTGACTGTAACTTACTGTTTAGTAAAATGAGCATATGAATGGATGTAAGACAGAGATGTTAGCGTTACAGAGGTTTAAGTGGAATTTTTTAAAGTAATTTAGTCACTCGTTTTTGAGATCCCTGGTGGCAATAACAAAAAGGTCTGTGCATGGTTTGAGTCATTTTTGCCCCATCAAAATTCAAAACCTTTTAATTGAATTCTGAAACAAGTGACTTTTCAATTTTGAATACTTCTCTGATACTATTATGATTTTTTTTCCCAGCTATGGTTACCAGTTGAAATTTGCATGAAAATAGTGAAATTTGAATATTCTGTCAGTTTTGTCAAGATTTCGCTTATTTTTTGCCCTAGCAATCATGGCACACATTGATAAACTATGCAAAACCGTGAGTAAAATGACTGAATATTCCAGTTTCACAAATAAATGCAAATTTAAACTGGTTAACATGACAACCATTATTGAAGAAAAAACACAAACAAATATGTTTATAATAGTATCATAAAAAACATTAAAAATAAAAAATAAAATAAAAATAAAAAATAAAAATTAGAGGTGATTTGAAAATTCATTTTTTTTTTTCATTTTTGATGGATTATGGGGTTAGAAAAAGTTCAAAACCATTCATTTTCCAACATTGATAAAGAACTAAAAATAGACGTCACAAAGCAGTAGATACTAAAAAGTCGAATGGCACTGTGAGCGGCAGTACTCTGTTCTGGTATATATATCTGGGTTTTAAAAAAAATGCACTTGCTTGTTATAGGAATAAGAGTTTAAAGCATTAAGATTATTTTTTATCTTTTTAGACAGATTCACATTCTACATACGCTATAGGGGATTACTTAACTGTTATAGAAGGCCCTAAAATGATATATTTACTGACAGCTGAACATGCTTCAAATTCAGACTTACTGTACTGTAGTATTGTGATATTGATAATTCCTAACAAAAGGTGTGGTTCAAGTCTTACTGTTGTAGTACTTGTAGCTTAGTGCAAAACTTAAGCATCCAAAAATATTAGACTTTTAAAAACCAGTTTCTCAAATTTATCAATAATATAAACTTAACCATTTGCTAGTGGCACTTTGAAATATAATACAATGAATATCCAAAGTAGATTCTAAATCTCATATATATACACGTTGCACCCTTTGCTAGTTTCCCCGGAACAGCGTAGATAGTTGGGTAGTCGAGATAGAACCCTGCATATTAACAGCAATGGTGACATGGGTGTTTTTAGCCTTATATCATCTTATACACCCTACACATTTTTTTCCCATTTGATTATTAATTAGGTAGCTAGCATTATTAAAACTATATTCGATGCTAATTCATATATTGCGACTGCATGTGTATATAACGTGGCTGTTGCATTTTCCTACTCATCTCCTTCTTAGTACATCTCTAATCATTGATCACAAAGAGTCCTAGAGGGACGAAACAGCTGTATGATGCAGTGTAATTCATTTATGACATACTGTATTCATTACAGCATTTTAAAGGTTCAATTACCAAAGTGTGTAACGTTCATCATTCATGTAAGCTGATCACATCCTATACTTTCCAAAACTGTGTCTGATGCCTACCTGTGTCAGCTGTGGCTGTCATACTCCGTTCTAGGGGGGGAATAGCATTAGGATGTCTGATGCCTCTCTGCGTCAGCTGTGGCTGTCATACTCCGGTCTAGGGGGGGAATAGCATTAGGGTGTCTGATGCCTCCCTGCGTCAGCTGTGCCTGTCATACTCCGTTCTAGGGGGGAATAGCATTAGGGTGTCTGATGCCTCTCTGTGTCAGCTGTGGCTGTCATCCTCCGTTCTAGGGGGGGAATAGCATTAGGGTGTCTGATGCCTCTCTGTGTCAGCTGTAGCTGCCATACTCCCTTCTAGTGGGGGAATAGCATTAGGGTGTCTGATGCCTCTCTGCTTCAGCTGTGGCTGTCATACTCCGTTCTAGGGGGGGAATAGCATTAGGGTGTCTGATGCCTCTCTGCGTCAGCTGTGACTGTCATACACAATTCTAGTGGGTGAAAAGCATTAGAGTGTCTGATGCCTGCCTGTGTTAACAGTGGGTGTCATACACTGTTCTAGTGGGTCAGTATTATTAGAGTGTCTGATACCTACCTGTGTTAACTGTGGGTGTCATACACTGTTCTAGTGGGTCAGTAGCAATACAGTGTCTGATGCCTACCTGTGTTAACTGTGGGTGTCCTACACTGTTCTAGTGGGTTAGTATTATTAGAGAGTCTGATGCCTACCTGTGTTAACTGTGGGTGTCATTCACCATTCTAGTGGGTCAGTAGCATTAGAGTGTTTGATGCCTACCTGTGTTAACTGTGGGTGTCATACACTGTTCTAGTGGGTTAGTATTATTAGAGTGTCTGATACCTACCTGTGTTAACTGTGGGTGTCATACACTGTTCTAGTAGGTCAGTAGCATTAGAGTGTCTGATGCCTACCTGTGTTAACTGTGGGTGTCATACACTGTTCTAGTGGGTCAGTAGCATAACAGTGTCTGGTGCCTACCTGTGTTAACTGTGGGTGTCATTCACCGTTATAGTAGGTCAGTAGCATAACAGTGTCTGATGCCTACCTGTGTTAACTGTGGGTGTCATACACTGTTCTAGTGAGTCAGTAGCATTAGAGTGTCTGATGTCTACCTGTGTTAACTGTGGGTGTCATTCACCATTCTAGTAGGTCAGTAGCATAACAGTGTCTGACGCCTACCTGTGTTAACTGTGGGTGTCATACACTGTTCTAGTGGGTCAGTAGCATTAGAGTGTCTGATGTCTACCTGTGTTAACTATGGGTGTCATACACTGTTCTTGTGGGTCAGTAGCATTACAGTGTCTGATGCCTACCTTTGGTACATGTAACTGCGATGGCCATACATCTGTTAAAGGGGTCAATAGCCTTTTGTTTTGTCTGGTGCCTACTTGTGTAATATTTCTTTATCATACACCTGTGTGGTGGGTCTATAACATTACCCTTGTGTGGTGCCTACCTGTGTTAGCTTTGTAATGGGTTTATAAAGCCTGCCTTACGTAGTGTGTTGTGTGCAGTGACTGTGACATATCATCATCCTTGGACTTTTTCATCATATCAAACAAACACAAATCCTCAGCATTCTTCTAAAGTTTTTGACTTTAGTTACGCATCAATTACTGTGGCACCTCATCAGGATAGATGAAAACTTGTTGCTTTGTTATCTGTATTGGAGAGATAACCAGTAAACAAGCAGAACTGGACAGTTTATTCTCAGATGGGTTTGACAATGGTCTACAGTACATCGTTATATCTCTACTTCCTTTTTCATTAGAAATGTTCTCTAGAGCTATGTTTCGGTGTTTTCATTTTTGTAATTTCTCAAAATATAACCAATTCAGTTGCTTAACTTTGAAAACTCTACGAAACCATCCCTGAAAAAGAGATGAAGTTCCTACAATATTTGCAATGCAAGTTGAAATCATCATCATCATATCATATCATCATCATCATCATCATCATCATCATCATCATCCTTTAAAAATAAGATAACCGTCCTCTTTATAGTTTCCTCAACTCTTAATGATATTATGAATAGGGAGTGATGTATGAGCATCGTAGCCGACTGCAGAAAACAACTTAACTGATTTTTTTTTTTAATATTAGAGAAAACCTGATCCCAA